CTCTCTCTCTCTCTCTCTCTCTCTCTCTCTCTCTCTCAAGACTCAGATGGCTGTATTGGCATGGCTGTAAAATGAGCTCTGGATTGTGTTGTATTTACCGCTTTCCCTTTTCACTCTGCAGTTATTTGTGTTATACTCCCATATGTCTCTGTCCTTTCATGAGAGCACCTTCGTTTCATTTGCGTGTTCTGTCTTAAATCTCAATTGAGTTAGCCTTGTATTTTTTGCATTTATTTGACCTTGACCTTCAGTCATCATCTTCATCAGCATCTTCTGGGCTGCTTGTCTGCTGTTTCTCTGACTGTGTACATCAGCAGTGCTTTCTGGATGTTTTGTCACATGAGACGAATGGTGTGAGGGCTTTCTGTACTGCGCCTACAGGCACTAGGTGCTTTTGTGTAGATGCTGCTTATGAATATTTAATGAGAATGTTCTGGAACTGTTGTTTAACTTCCTGCTTTTACATAACAGCCATATGACACAGTGCTTCAAGCGTTAATTAATGGATCTTGAGTGTTAAATTGTATATCCTAACATACAAGCTTTATTTAATCTTTCTTCTGTTTTCCCTCCATAGTTCAGAGGAGCAGACTGAGGAAGACAGAAGTGATGCCGTAAACATCGATGCCAAAGAGAGCTTGGAGGACAAGAGACGGTATGATCTAGCCTGTCCTCCTGTAGTGACTTACGGCAGGTACCGTGGATTGAGGGAAGTCCGGAAACCAAAGAAGAAGCAGCATTGCGTCGAGCTTCATTCGCCCATCTCTGAGGGAGAAGAGGCTACACAATCCGACGGCCATGAGGACAGTGAGATCTCCTCTTGCACTGTAGACATCATGAGCTCTGATAGTCAGGAAAATCCCACTCCCGTAAATCAAGCATCTCCTTCCCAGGCTCAGAGTGTCTTATCAGACCAGGTTCCTGAACTAACTCCAGCCCACCAACTCCCTCATGTTGCAGGCTCTGGCCCGTCGCTTTCCTGCGTAGAGACAGAACAAAGTCCGCCGAAGGACCCAGTGAACAGCGGACAGGAGCATCTCGCTCAGAGTGCTACGCCACAGACGCTATCGGGGGACAACGATGATCTGACCGTTTCAGACACCAGCACAGACCATCACGACACTCAGAGCTCAGAGTCATCTTTAATTGTAGACAGAACGGATGATCTAGTCCCTGGTTCTCAGACGTGCTGGACTCTGGAGGAGTTTGAGCTGAAACGGGCTGTGGTGGATTTTGGGATGGATGAAGAAGTCCTGCAATTGGACTCTAAAAAGATGGTGGATAGCATCCTGACAAATGCCCTCGCTGCCTTGCACAAGATGGAAGCATCTGAGACGGAGCGTGAGGTCCTGTCGACCCATGAACCCAGCGAAGGCTCAGAGGCAGTGCTGTTTGAAGGGTCAGATGGCCGTGGAGATGGAGGCACTAATGCAGAGCATCAGTTTGGCGTGATGTTGACGGACCAGACGCTGTCTGCGGTTCTCGAGGGAACGCTAGCAGGCCATGTGGACTGCAGCAGGTCACCGCCCTCCTCAGGGTACGAGTCCATCGCTGGCTCCGACACGGACATCAGGTGCATCGTGGGCGTGGCCTCTGACGTCATCACTACCAGCGCTCCAACTGGCTCTCAGAACGAGAATCAAGCCGTTCTTGAAAATCTTTCTGAAGAAAAGAACGTGGATGGAACCCGTAAGAGCAGCGGGAGAAACTCTGTGCTCAGTGCTGCTGCTGATGAGCCATTATCCCCTAATCTCCATAAAATAGACATCAAGCTCTTATCGGAGGAGTCTCTCTGGCGTGAGCAGCACACGGGTGATGTCTCCGTATGTGAAGCGGAGTGGGTAAGAGGGGAAAAGAGACCTCAGGATACAGCCAAAGACAATGCAATGAGCAATAACTGTAGACTCAGCCTGAATGGTTCCTGTGGCACTTCTGGCACGGCTCCATCAGCGCATCAGGAGAGTCTTCAACAAAGCCAAATTCTCAGTGCAATGGGAAAGTCAGACCCCGTTAGCCACAGTCTTGCATCTGACACAGCGGATGCAGATATAATGTCAGAAATCACACAAAGCCATCAACCTGAGAAGACTGAAGGCAGTGGTGAGCAGGAACAGGTCTGCCGAGTCTCTCGGGCTGGAATAGATTCACGTGTCCTGCCATCCGTGACTGAAGTTCACCATCCTTCTCAGTGGGCCACGGTCCAAGCGTTTCGCTGCGACGTCACCGATGACCAAAGCCTGAGCTCCGCTACGCTCCAGACAGAGCTCAGCGTGAACCGAGCAGATGCTGGAGTGCCAGTCGTGTCAGTTTCTGGTCGTAGAATTCACCTCGACGCCGTGGACAGCTCCAGCAGAACTGCGGCTGTCGTTCCCCAACACTCCCGGTTTCACGATCTTGAACTCCACCAGGTCGACGGAGGCTTCGCCATCATCAGCGAGGAGGAGGAGAGTGACATGGTGTTCGTGAACGACATGGGGCCCATGCACAGTCCTAGCGCACGTCGAGCCAAAGCATACCCCTTCTCCCTGTCCCCCATCTACGAGGAGGAGTTCGGCCGCGAGGAGGCTTCAGGGCAGCAGACACTGCAGGTTCCTCCAGCGACAGAAGAGGAGCAGAGGAGCGTGGAGCAGCCGGCCTCGTCCATCCTCTCCCTCCTGCAGTCGGTCAGCGAGAAGCTACAGTCCAGTGTGGTCTGCAGTTCAGTCGAGGAGTCCGTCCACGCACCGCTGAGCGGAGACGACAGTGAGGACGATGACGAGGACTCCAGCATCCTACAGAGCCGCCAGCTCATCGAGGCCAAACCTGAGCGTGAGACTGCTAATGACACTCCGGATAGAATACAGGAGGAACGGGAATGTGATGACACATTGTTTAATATTGGAAAGAACACCAATACACCTTTCTATCAGTACTTGAAGTCTGGAATAATGCCATCAGGTGATGAAGAACCTGAAGACACTAAACACACTGCGTGTTGTAGCGCAGGCAACACAACGGTAAGCAGAGTCTGCTTCTGGAGACCCAGTGTCCTGCAAAGTTTATTTCCATCCTGCTCCAGCACACCTGGCCTGATCCTGGTTATCTGGTTCAGCTGTGTCTGATCAAACTCTGCAGGACAGTGGGTCTCCAGGAGCAGGGTTGAAGACCTGTGGTCTAGAACAGGGGTGGGCAAACGTCTTGACTCGAGGGCCACATCAAGTTTTTTGAATATAAGTGAGGGGCCGCATAGTATATGCATGACAAATGAAGCTTTGATTTTTTTTAAATTCCAAATTGACACTCGGATACTACTGTACTACATGTATACTTGTATGTGGAAGTATACGTGGCAGTTCTATTCTTGTACCATCTCTTCTTGTTTTCTTAATGAGAATAAAATAAGTCACATTTGATCATTTCATCCAGAAATAATGTAAAGTAAATAACACGTGTTTTTGTTCCCCTCAAACCACAACAGATCCCTTATATATTAATAGGCAAGGGGGCCCAAACATTCTTTAGCATATGTCGCAATAAGAGATAAATCCGACCCTGGCGATATTACTGAGCACATTCTAATTCTGACTGAATATACTGTATATGTAACGGTTATATACAGCACTGCAGACTAAAGCACCATCTATCGGGTTTTGCTGATGTTGCATCAATAAATTAGTCATTTTGGACCAACTGCCTCACCGGCCGGATGAAAGATCCGGGCCAGAGTTTGCCTCCCTCTGGTCTAGAATGAGATATGCTTATATTTATATTAACAAGCTTTTAAATCCTTCATGTCCTCACAGGGAGAGATCAGAGGGTTCGGAAAGGTCAACCCTAGACCTGCAGCAGTAAGTTCAGCTCAACTTAGGCATCTCATACGAATGGTTGTCTGTTTAGTTTGAGCACTTGAGTCTTTGAACAGCTTTGGGCATTTCCTTTGCATTGCCCAGTGGGGCTTTGAATCAGTAAAACAAGGGCTCCAACTCTGTTTTAAGTCATATTTGTTGTTATCAATTGCTGTAACAGAATGCTATTCCACTCTCAGCTTGCTAATAGTGCCAAACAGTCATATATTTTGCAGCACAAAAAATAAAAGACTCAAACGACTCCTCAAGCTATATCCTCACGGGCTTGATTTATTCAGATTGTGCCGGTGTCTCAGTGTCAGGAGTTTAATGGTAGCGCGCACATCGGCTGTACTAACCCATGTGTGCACAAGCGTCTGAAGTTTCCTTATGAACGCAGGTGCTCATCTACGAGAGTCAGTCGCTGAGCGGTGAGAGGAGAGACATCTGTGATGACGTGGAGGATGCTGGGAGGGATCTGTTTGCTGACAGAGGAACGCTTCACGCGCTGAGAGGATGGTAAGCATGTTTACCTTCATCAGATAATAAGCCTGAGTAAAATAATCAAACACAAACACACAGCTGACAGTCAGAAACTTTCCTGGCCGAGTCAGAGCTGAGATGAGTTGGGAAGGATATTTTTTATGGATGTGAGCCGTAACAGTCCAGTTGTGCTGTTGTACAAGACATGAGCTCATATCATAATTTTGTGTCTGGACTCCCATTGGCTCTCAGAGAGAGACTGTGTGTGTGTGTGTGCTGTAGCTCATGTCTAATAGATGAAGTGATTGTGCTTCTATTTTTCTGAGCACTGAAAGCTTTTGCGATGTCGTTTTGCTAATGCATGTCCACCGACTCGCCTGTGCTCTCCATTATTCATCAGCACTCAAACACTCGTGGAAAATCACATGAGGGATGTTTTTCACTTTATTTTTCATAAACTTGTCCAGTAAAATTGTTCTGGTGCGTTGGACAGAAGGCTGATTTGATCCAGAGAGTTTATGTATAAAACATTGGCGTCACGCGATGCTGAGATGTTTTTGAGGTTTATGTTTGAGTCTGTGCAAAAAATTTAACATGAGATGTTTGTTCAGCTTATATTGTGTTGAGTTCTGTGTTGCTCCTGTCCTGTGTGTGTGTCTCAATGCTTTGTGTTCGTTCACTTCTGTGTTCAGTTCCTTCAGACAGAGTCTGAGGCTATGTTCACTCTAGTGTGTTTTCGTTTTAAAACGCTTACGTTTTTCTACGGTTACACCTGAAACACAATGAAAACGCAAGTGTAGATGAGGATCGTTTTAATTTTAAAATGCACTAGTGTAAACACGGCCTGAGACTCTGTTGGTCTCCATGGCAATGTTCTTAATTCTGTGTGTGTGAGATGTTTTGCTGCTCTCACACACACCAGAAACTGCTCGTGAAGTCGGTAATGGATGTTTAAACGCTGTGTGTTCAGCTGGCTGCTGTATGTGGACTCGTGGTTCCGCGGCTCATGTGTTCTTCTGGAGGACGGTCAGACTGTGAGGACCAGCGGAGGATCTCAGCAGGACCTGAAGGAGACCAGTGGGCTGACTGTGGGCTCCATCAGGAAGCTGCTGAAGGTATCAGGAGTGTCTGTGGTGTGTCAGCTAGTGTGTATTTACTTTATGTACATTTCTGGAAGTGTTTCTTTACACAGATGGTACCAGCACTGAAACACTGCTGTGATCTGCAGCACTCTTCTGAGAAATATGTCAATACAAGCTATGCCCACCAACAAACGTCAATTAATAAAAATTAATAGCTTATAGCACCACCTTGTGGCGGACGCTCTCAAAAATGGATCCGCATTTAGTTACCCTGTATGTACAGTTCAAAGCAGCTTCACGGTAATAAACAGGAAAATAACAGAATCAGTGACAGTAGTGTCCATATTCAGCTCAAGTCAGTTCAAAATAATAAAAATTAATTAAATAATTATTAAACAAATCAAAATGAACAATTTGGCATTTTTCACCCAAACTGAAAAGAAATACAGTGCATGAGTTTCTGTGATTGTACAGAGCATGTGAGTATTTATAATGAGGCAAAAGGCATTCAGTTTATTGTTTGTTTGTTTGTTGCTAAACGATTGGTCGCTATATTTTAACACCGCATCTCTACAGCTTTGCCACCCATTGACGGATTAACCCGGCAAAAAGCAGTGCTAATTCTGCTCCGGTTTCACAAGACAATAACCCAAAGTTAAATGCAGCGGGAAAAGCCCAAGAAACAGACAACATTTAGTTGTTGCAGATGAAAATGCGGCGTCCTACCTGGTTATAATCCTTATCTTTTGACCCAGGAACACATTTTAACCACATTTTCTTCCTGTGACATTGGAAGATGAATATCCATTTATGCCAGTATTGTCTCGACTTCAGCACAAGAAGGAGATTGGAGCAGAGATTAGAAAGTATTGGATTATTGTTATTTATTTTTACACATTAACTATTTAAGTTGTATTAAGTTATTTTGGAGTTGAAAATATACTTTATTTTTTATCTTTAGCTTTATCTTACAGTTGCTCAGGCGCGTCTATGGTTATATCTTTAAAATGATTTGACGCATCTGAATTCTTCTGCTATGTTTTGTCTTGTTGGTCTGTAGTTGATACTCGCCTCATCCGGTGTGAGTTGGATCAGCAGCCCAGGAGGGGCTGAAAAAGCAGGATTTTTAGAAGGAAGGAAATATTCTGTAAATCATGCATTTTTTCCATTTATCTCAGAGTTTCATGCACTGTTATTAGCTTCACATGCTTCAGTCGAGTCCGGTGATCTAACAGACATTCATCAGGATCCGTGTTTACTCTGTGTTCATGAGCTTTGATGCAGTTCTTGCTTGTGTTTTAAAGAAGCGTCTGGTGTTGTTGTGTGCAGGATGACTGCGTTCCAGAGATCCATCTGTATCCCAGCTCGTCTCAGACCGTCCGTCTTCATTCTGCGTCAGACCTGACCGGTGCTCCGGTGCTGCTCTCTGACCTCTGCATCAGGACCGGATGGTAGGAGACGCCTGACAGACAGCAGTGTGTTTGAGTGTGAAAACTGGAGCTTTGGTCTCAGAATAGTTGACCTCAGCAAAAACCATCAAGTGTAGTCAAGTATGGTGACCCATACACGGAATTAGTGCTCTGCATTTAATCCATCCAAGTGCACACTCACTCACACTCACACTCACTCTCACTCTCACTCTCACACTCACACTCACACTCACACTCTCACTCTCTCACTCTCACTCTCACTCTCACTCACACTCTCACTCTCACACACTCTCACACTCTCACTCACACTCACACTCTCACACTCTCACTCTCACACTCACTCTCACTCTCACACTCACTCTCACTCTCACTCACACTCTC